CTACTATAAAAGCATGCAAATCGTCATAGTTTTTTACGTGTAAAAGCAGACAATCAATAAATGCGGTGCGTAACTTATGCGAATAATATGCGAAGCACTTTTGATTTTGATATGCGGTGCAGACAATCAATCAATGCGGTCCATATGGATATGCGAAAAAAATGGCGGATAGTCGTAAATTATACGGCTTTCGATGATATACAATTCGTTAATTATGCGGTTGAAGACTAGGCGAATCATCCCAGTTGTGCGATTATTATGGGACATGTGTGCAGGTCAACCCAATTCCGATTTTGACAATTGTACCTGGATTATGAACATTTGCTTCTCATTGACCTCTTTGTCTTCTTCGCCTGAATCTTCATTGTGCGTGTTGGTTCAGTCATCATTATTGTCATCATCATGAGAATGACCTGGTCCTGGTTGGTTCGAACAACCCGCGGTTTGAACATCAACGCCCCGAGGATATCCAGTATGTGTAAATGAACTAGGTCCTGCTTGACGTGAATATGGGGCCTCGTGGGAAAATGCAGAACCACCAACACCAAAAGAACTAGGAAATAAATCTTGGGACGCCATCACTTGCGTGAAGCTTTGTTGGGCCATCCCCAGTATCCCTACATTTACTCGCTTCTCCAACTCCACGTAAATGTTGAGATTTTGTTGTTCTTCAATCAGCTCTAAGATATCGTCATTGGATTCGATTTTCATCTTCACAACTCGTTCCCTTCCATCAAATACTGCTCACAATATGTACTCAAAATTACAAGGATCGGCCTTTAATAATGCTTGACCACGAGAAACTACTTCTGAATACATTTGTCCGCCGTATTTTAGTCTCATCAGCTCTGCCACTCCACCAAGATATGAACCCCCGGAAAATGTACCGCCAAAGTGCACCAATATTCTAACACGGTGATCGTTAGCCATTCGAATAATAAGTGAACAACAAAAAGAATTAAAACGAAACAAGCAGAAAATTGCAGTAGGTAGAGATGAATGGTGCAGACGTTCAATTGTTAGAGATCACTGTTTTTTTGTCTTCAAGATAAATGCACAGACAAAACCCTCACCTGTAAAAAAGCAGTCAATTAATGAGGTGCGTAACTTATGCGACAGACATGCGATCAAATTCCGAATAGTCGTATAATTGCCATGTCGATATGGCTGTGAGAAAAAATGGCGCGTAATCGTCAATTAAATTATGCTTGGTTATGCGATTCTTCAATACGCGACCGAAAAAATGTCTCATAATTGTCAACTATCAGCCAGATATATGCAAAAGTTTTTCGCATACTAGCAAATTATGCGATTCACTTGGATATGCAATTTCCAGAAAATGCGAATTCAACTAATTATGCGAATTATATGCAAAAAGATTTTCGCACAGTCATATATTTGCAAGGTCGATATAGCCCTGCGAAAAGAAGGCGCATAATCGTTGTAAATTATGCTGCCTTCGATTTTGATGTGCGATTCTTAAAACTGCGAAATATGTTCGCATATTTGTAAATTATGCGTTAAATTTGGATATGCGATTACAAATATGCGAAATATTATCGCATAGTCATAAATTATAGCTCTGCGAAAAGAAGGCGCATAATCATCGTAAATTATGCTGCCTTCGATTTTGATATGCGATTTTTAAAAATGCGAAATATGTTCGCATATTTGTAAATTATGCGTTAAATTTGGATATGCGATTACAAAATATGCGAAATATTATCGCATAGTCATAAATTATAGCCCTGCGAA